AATATTTATTTTATTTTATTTTTTTTAGTTTTTGGCAGACACAACATCTTTGTTTGTATGTGGTGCTGAGGATCGAACTTGGGCCGCACACATGCCAGGCAAGCGCGCTACCGCTTGAGCCACATCCCCTGCCCAATTTCTATATGTAGAATCATATCTTTTACAAAGAGGGATAATTTGAATCCTTCTTTTCCTGTTTACATGCCTTCTATTTTTCTCTTGCCTCATTGCTCTGGGTAGAATTTCTAGTATTATATTGACTAAGAGTGGTGAGAGCAGATGCCCTTGAAATGTTCCTGATCTTAGAGGAAATGCTTTCAGGTTTTTTTCCAATTAAGTATGATATTGGCTATGGGTTTGTCATATGTAACCTTTATTATGTTGAGGTATGATTCTTCTATACCTAAGTTATTCAGAGATTTTATCATAAAGGAATATTGAATTTTATCAAGACTTTTTCTGCACCTATTGCTATGATCATGTGGTTTTTAATCTTTGACTCTATGTGTTGTGTTACATTTATTAATTTGTATATCTTGAACCATCCTTCCATACCAGCTTGATCATAGTTTATAATGTTTTTTAATGTACTGTTGAATCTTATTTGAAAGAATTTTGTTGAGGATTTTTGCATCTCTGCTCATTCAGGGATTTGGTCTATAATTTTCTTTTGCTATTGTTGTATACTCATCAGATATTGGTAGCAGGGTAATACTGACTTCCAAGAAAAAGTTTGGAAAGGTTCCTTCCCTTTCTTTTTGTAGATCAGTTTGAAAGACATTGATGTTAGTTCCTCTTTAAAAGTCTGATTAAATTCGCTGTGAACCCATCCATGTGTGGACTTTTCTTTGTTGGGAAACTTTTTATTTTTCAATTTCATTACTTGTTATTAATCTATTTATGTTTTTGTATTATATCCTCTTGGTTCAATTTTGGTAGGTTATATGTATACAGAAATTTGTCTATCTCTTCCAAATTTTCTTAATCTTATCAAATGCTATCCTCTCTGGGACTTTAGAAAACCAATTAATCCTCTCCTCTTTCCTATATTTTCATTCTTCCTTCTCTATTGTCTTTTTTCCTCTAACATATGCATAAGCTTAAGTTTCTTTCTTCTTCATCTCTAGATCTTCACCTAGCTGGTCATGACCTTTTTGATTATAAATGATAAAAATTCTATAAAAGTGAGTTAAACACACAAAAAGGTAATTGATTATCTCATGTAAACTGAGACGTCCAAGCATTAATCCAAGCTTTAATCTCCAGTGGTCTCATCATTGCCTCTGGCTTTCTCTCAGTCTTTTAGTTATGCTTGGTTACTGATTGGCTTTATTTGTTGAATGAGCTTTTTCACATGGCAGGTAGTCCCTAATTTAAATCTTCCCAGGTTAGAATACTCAGTAGAAAAAGTTACTCTTCCATGTTAGTTTTGAACTCAGACCTGAATTAATCTTGACTATCCTCCTTTGAGTCCCATGTTTATTCTTCATTAATTCCTATGGCCTGGGGTGGGGAGTCATTTTATCTCTGTGGCCCCAGCGAAAGCAGGCCACCTTGAATGATGAACTTCCCAGGATCACATGGAATGGTGAAGGCTCGTTTATCCAAAGGAAAATAGAGGTACTTTTATGAAAACAAGCATGCCAGACAAAAGCAGAATCCTAGAGTCTCTGTAACCTCTATCTCTTGCTTTTTCATGCAAACAAAAATTCTTGAAATAGCATTTTACTGTTAGCATGCTTATTTTCTTACAGCCTTATCATGTTTCATTCATTAAAATTTGGGTTCTATCATTACTTTGAAATGGCTTTTATTCCCAGTCATTTAATGACCTCCTAAGTACTGAATTCAGTGAACTTTTTTTCAACTTATTCTCTTTGGACCTCAGTCAGGTTTTTTGTTTTTGTTTTTGTTTTTGTTTAGAAACAAAATCTTTCTGTGTTCCCAGGCTTATCTCAAACTCCTGAGGTCAAATGATCATCCCACTTCCAACTCCCAAATCCTGGGACTACAGATGTGTGCCACTATGCCAGGCCTTTTGTAGTATTTGACACTATTGATTTTCTAGTCTTTCCTTCCTTTCACAAGTTTCTCCTTTGGTTTCAATTAAATCATTCTATTCATTTTTCTCCTACTTCTCAGATCATTTGAGCTTTTCTTCCTATTGATGTTGCAAAGATTTTTTTTTTCTTTTTCATTCCTCTCACTTCTCACTTCAAAACTTCTAGACATTATCACCTAAGCCTATGTCTTAAATCACTTAACTATATTCTGATGATTTTTTAAATCTGTATCTCCCATCAAAATATAACTCCAATTCCTTCTATATAATCACCTTCCTGGAGATGTCTGCCTAAAAGTTAACATAGCAGCACCCCAAGTCCTTCCTTCTATCTTCTTTTGGCCTCACTCTCTGTTTTCCTTAACCTTGTGATTTAACCCTCTGCTTATTTAAGCTGCTAAAGGCAGAAAATAATTGTCATACATATCTCATCACCAAATCCTAATTATTTTGCCTTCTACACATTTCTCATATCAATTCTTCCCTCTTCTATCTTTTTACTAATACTCTAGCTCAAGCATTCATTGTTTTTCATTTATTTCAATTAACTTTCTCTCTTTTACTAGTCTATCCTCTAATACATAACCAAATAAGCATCTCAATTAAGTAAACCTGTTGCTAAAACATCTTCCATCTCCTTAACGTGACAAATAAACTTCAACATGACCTGGCATTTATCTCCCTGTGCAGTCTCAATTGGGTCTGTGCTCCTTCTCCTTGTGCTGTGTGCTCCAAAAATCCTGAAAACTTATAGTTCCCATCTTCTTTGGTCTCTCATCCTATGTCTTTCACATGCTATTGTCCCTTCATATGTATCTTGCCTTTCTTCATAATCACAGCTCTATCAAGCTTAGAATCCTACTACTTTTCTTTCATCTATTTTCACCTTGAGGAGTCTTTTTGACTCGCATTGCTCTTTCTTCTACCTTCCCATTATACTTTGTATCTACTTCCATTTTTAGTACATTGTGTGTATGGATCAACTTATAAAAGTAGAATAATGTGAACTATAATTGTAGGTACAGTTGAAGAGTAAAGTAGGATTTGAATAGGTGAATAAGAGGGCAGAGATTATTTATTTATTAACTTACTTATTTATTTACAGTACTGGGGATTGAACGCAGTGGTGCACCACCCACGATCATTGAGCTATATTCCCATCTTTTTTTTTTTTTCTTTTCTCTTTTGACATGGAGTCTTGTTAAGTTGCCCCGGCTGACCTCAAATTTGTGATCCTCCTGCCTCAACCTTTCAAGTTTCTGGGTTACAGATATGCAAATTGTTCCCAACTAAGGATGGGGGGATATTTAAAGTAAAATGACCCAGTGGTGTACTGGCACAAGCTTATGAAATATGATTGGAATTTTTATTTATTATTATAATTTTAATTATATGAAATTTCAATTAAATTAAATAAATTATGTTAAAAACAAAAGCAAAAATGCTCAAAATTCATCACTTCCTCATTATTCTACTACATTTTACTATTATCTGTATTCTTGAGGCTGTTATCTATATGGTGTAAATAATGTATAATAGGGTGCTACTGTACATTTCTTCCCAACTTCTCATCAGTAATATCACAAGTAGCTTAAAATCAGTTATGGTGAGAAAAGTTTTACTATTGGAATAAAAAAATACTGCCTATCAGGATTTGACTTATTGGTTTGTTGTTTAGATTTAAGAGACAATACTGAAGATTAAACTTAACAGTATATTGTAGAATCATTACATTGAAAATAACACAAAAAATTAAGGGAATATTCTTTTAGTATTTGAAAACTACTGTTTAATTCAGAAAAAAAGTTACTTAATCAATGATGCATGAGTGAAGTCCCAACATATGTCTTTATTTTACTTTTATCTTGCTAAAGTCAACAAAAATATTAAGCAACATTTATGAGAGAACTCTGCTGATTTGTCAATTGCAACCATAGGTTGGCTATAGATAGAAGAGTGGCAAAACTGAATGAAAACATTTAGTGAGAATCAAATAATTATATGGGAGCTGGGGATGTGGCTCAAGTGGTAGCCCACTCGCCTGGCATGCGTCTAGTTCGGTCCTCAGCACCACATACAAACAAAGATGTTGTGTCTGCCGAAAACTAAAAAAAAATAAATATTTTTTTTAAAAAACTCTCTCTCTCTCTCTCTCTTTAAAAAAAAAAAGAGGGAGCCTACTTTGAACTCGGGTTTAAAATAATAATTATTATTATTATTATTATTATTATATGGAATTTACAATTAAGCATACTGTATATAATATTTTTGTAAATTATGTAATATACATCTATAAAGTTTAGGGTAAAGTTATGTATATATACATGTGCATACTCTTCAGAGAGGCAGTTATTAAATATATATTAGTATACATCTATGCAAAAGTGTTTAAGTAAAGGGATTTAGTCTTCACAACAATTTTTTGAAATAGGTGCTATTATTTTTTTCCTTTTTCAGGGGAGAAAACTAGGCTCAGGGAATTTGAATTACTTCTCTAAAGTCATACAAATAAAAAAAGTAGAATTTTCACACAGGTAGTCTGTTCCTATACCCAGGCTATAAACAATGAAAATACTGAGGATTTTTTAGCAGCAGAAAAATATGTATTTTGGACAAATGTATGTCATAACAATATTCAAAATTAATTTGTAAAGAGCTGGAAGCCAATTAGAGTAGAATCATTTTTACCTAGGAATTAAGATGAAAAATTAATTCTGTCTTTTAAAATCTAATGAAAAATATAGTGCAACTATCAGTACTTGTAATATGGTTAATAGAATTGACTGAATATAATATTCAACAATGCTTGACACAATGTTTTGGAAACTGCTGCTCGAAAACTCTACTTAGTAATTGAAAGATGTGTTTGCTATATCAGTATAAAATGATGTTTAAGACTTTAAAAGTAATTATACTCTTTTATATATACACATAACAGATTTTTTTAGATGGAACTATTCTACAACTTCAAAGGAGAAAGACTCTCAAACAATGGCGTTCAACAGAAATCTTAATATATCTGGAAACCAAAATTTGATAGATACGGATAAAAGTAATTCCCCATATTCAGAGGTTTTGAATGTGAACTTTGAATTGGGAAATGAAGTTTGGGATGATTTTGATGATGAAAACTTAATAGAAGTTACTAATTTTTCAGTTGATACTAAGAATATAAAGACACCAGGTAAATTTGTATTTTAGCATGAAGTAATTTCATTAGTAATTCTTTTGAATGTTTTTCATTTTAGCTCCAAGAAGTAATTTTCTTCACCTTTTTATGTGTGCTTATTTAATTAGTTTTGATTCAGTAATATAATTTTTAGTAAAACTGAAAAAGTGACCCTTCCATACAAAGCATTTTACCATTAACCTACTAAGAACAGAGGTCAAGGTTACTTCACAATGGTGATATAGCAAATGAACTTTTTCTATTTTGTTGCTCCCCTCTCTCTGGTTAAAGACACTATTTAAATTCAGACTGTTGATTGAATTTTTCCTTATAATATAGAGTGTCCTGCTCTTCATTCTAAGATCACACATGGTTTGCTACTTTTTGTGAAGGACAAAAGTATTCTATTTTTGAAAGTATTCATCAGCTTGCAAAAAAAAAAAAACTTTTATTTCTAATCAAAATATTGACTTCAGATATAAATAAGTACAAAAGAAAGGATTTGTTTCTCCTGTGTGGGCAATTATATTTAAATAATATACAAACCCGAATTAATGAGATGTAGTTCTTTGAGTTACAGGCAGTTACTCCATTTCACTGAAACAGAAATTGAAAGTCATGTCAAGTGTTTGACAAGATAACAAATGGAGATACTCTTACCCATAAGGGCTGACAGAAGGAAATCAGTCCTTCAGCTTTCTCAGTACAGACTCTTATTCCTAAAATTATAGTTTTGTTGATTTTTAATATATACCACTGTATGCTCTTTTTAAA